AGAAAGGGTTCATGTCCGGAATCTCTGGATGCCTGGAACATAACTCATTACTTGCGGAAAGTCTCAAAGATGATAGGATAAATTAAAGGCAAATATCAGTCAGTTGGATAGATTTAGAAGACGCCTTTGGTTCAGTACGCCACGAGTTCATGTTATTTATTGTGAAATGGTATCACTTTCCGCCAGTAGTTTGTGAAATAATTGCATCATACTATAGGCCTCTAGCAATGTACGCCACTTAGATCGATTTTGGGCTTCTCGCATCCAGCACCTGCCAGCCATCTTGCGCAAATCGTTACTCCACCTGACCTGTACACACTGTGACCGTGTGTCCTTCACGACGTTGCAGTGGACTGCGATAGACTGATGATGAATGATGAAAATAGTAAACTAAAATTGTAATCACAACAAAATGGGGACATACTAAACTACTTGAACACCTTTATATCATTACTATCACCTTTATAACCAGTCTAATTAAAAATAATTTTACATTATAAAATCGAAGAATGAAAAGTAAGTTGTTACATCTTATGACAGTTGTGAGGTCGAAAGTTGATCAGCACTGAATTGTGACCGAACTTTCTTGGCTTTCAGGTTGCACTGATGAGAAATGAGGAACATAATATCTGGTTTCAATGCAATCGGCTGATTATAAATAAACCAAAAACAAACTATATAATATTTACAGCAAAAAACAAGAAAGTATCACATTACACACCCTCGAAAATAAATAATCAAATTTTAAACAAAGTTGATGAAGAGAAATATCTTGGACTAATCCTGGACTCAAGCTTAACATCGAAACCACATATTTCTAAAATTAAAACCAAATTAACTTCTCTTTCTGGAGCCCTACGGGGCACGGTTAGGTTACATGTTTACCGTAATGAGTATAAGTTGAAAAAGAAAATCATTTTATCTTAAAAATGCGTGGGGTGCTAGATCTCAATTGTTGTAAAAATATTTTATGGACAGATATTGATAAAAATAAAGTTGTTATATTATAATATAAGATAAGATAAATTTATTAAAAAGTATAAATAAATGACATACATATGTAAAACCCAAACATATCACAGACATACATAAAATGACTACGTGACACGCACAAGTAATCCACTGAACAAATTGACTATATTAAGACAACTTACAACTACGAAATGGATTAGTGCACGGAATTATCTCAAATTCATGATCCACAAGTTCGGAACACAGAATTCTTACCATATACAAGATACAGTTTGCGTCCTATTAGTAAGGTAATCTTTGAAGAGATCCAGGGGTACACCTCTAATGCCTATAGACTTTAATTTTGCAAATCAGCAAAGGAATTGATATCGTATCAAAAGCCTTACTTAAATCAAGGATAACTAATAAATATCTATATATTTATAATTTATTTTTGCTTTTTTAGTAATTAATGGTGATTATTTTCTTTTTAAGACTAAAAAAGTAAAAAGTAAGTAAGTCACATATGCTTCAGCACGCGCTTCTACGTACGTAGGAACACAGCAAAAGATACTACCGTATTTTTAAGAATGGAAAAGGCGTTAATCCTGAAGATCCTGATCAGGATAATCGCCCAAATTTACCAAATTATTGTAATGTCATCGGTCCTTGATAAGACATTTTGAAGTAGGTCAAAATCACTTTCGAAGACTCCGTTACATACATACATACCAAGCTAATAAAAGCGTTAAAATAGAAAAAACCGATCTTTTAAACGGTTTGTACGGTCAAGGTCATAAGTCCAGTCGCTCTTTTACGAAGTAATAGCATGATGACTAGTTATGAATTTCATTAGTTATGAATTTCATTAGTAGACATGAATTTCATTTACTAACGTATATCAGACACACATAAACACGCTATATGCTTATAATTATAGTAACTAATTTGAACGTAATTAATAAAAAGTGTCCGTCTGACACTGTGGACGGTGATGCAAAATGCCACAGTAACTTTTTGAGAATTTATGGAATGTGGATGTGGTTATGAGTTTAGTATTGTAACGAACTTCAAAGAATATAAATCTTTGATTCAATATTTTAAACTAGTAGTCACTAAATGTTGAGGGTAAATTTGAAACAATAAACTATTTTATTGTTTCAAACATGTATTTGTTTTGTTTTAAAAAGGTATAGTTTTGTGAGTCACGTTTATCAAGTTCAAAATATGTTTGTGTGATTTTTTCTGTCCGTGAGGATCAAACCTTGACAGTAAATATACTCGTATAAATGTCGTTTCGTTGCATGTTTCATTATTGGCTTTATCAGTTATCAAAAATGAATTTTTTTTATCAATAATAATGTTTATACAGGCTGTCCATGCATATAGTGATAATGTATAGTAATGACTTAAAACACTTGTTGCACTAGTTTTTTCCATTTCATTTTAAGAATAAAAAACTATCCGTTTATACATATAACATGTTTCATCTGCTTATTTATTTCATTTAGTGTTGTTCTACGTTAAAGATTTATAAACGAACATATGTATGTTTTCGGTTTGGAATTTTTAATTCGTTTTTGTAAAAATTGATTAAAACTAACTTCAAATTTTTAACCGACTTCAAAAAAAGGAGGAGGTTCTCAATTCGACTGTATTTTTTTTTTTTTTTTTTTTTTTTAGCTACGAGTATTTCTTTAGCCAAACAAACCATGGCAACTGTCAGAGACTGCGCGATGTGATGCGCAGAGAACTTGCAGTATTTATGTCACCACAGTAATTTTCGTTGTATTAAGAAGAAAAGGTTGAAATTTTGTATTCTATCTTGTTAAAATAATTCGGATAGACGTTTTGTTGCTATGGATGGCATCGCATTTCGTTTGTAAGTAATTTTATACTTAATTTATTAAAATAGTTCTGGAAAAAACTCTTAAATTTTGGGTGGGTCAACTAGGTTAATTTCTAACATACTAGTATTAACCCTTCTAGTTGGAACTCCTTCTATAAAATATTGAGCATATTTGTTGAGTAGTCTCACTAAAGCTTCCCTATCTTCACCTTCGAGATCAGTGTCAATTGAATCGGAAGTTATTTTGTTCGGTTGCAACTCACAAGAATTTGACTGTTTCTTAGAAAAGAATTTAAGCTGATCTTGATCAGTTTGGACGCCAATGTCATTTTCATATCCTACACTAAAAATGGTAAAATAAACCCTTTTTTAAAAAAAAGGTGAACCGACTTCAAAAAACACCGACAAAGAGCACTAAAAATTAAAAAATAATTACAAATCTAAGTAAAAAACTATAATAAGTACCCTCAATGTAACAGGTAACATTATAATACCAATAGTCCCTTCTAGTCTGTTTGAAGTCGGTGCCAAGCTCGATGTACAATAAGTAATACTGGTCTATGTCAGCTTTATATTAGCACAATGAAAAATTAAGAATTCAAAATAATTCTAATGAAACATCGAAGATTTTGTTAATTAATAAAGACCAACCAGATCAATTACGTGCGCAAACTTATCAACTACTTATTAAAGAATTTAAAAATAATAATATAATTGGAGATGTGCGTCCACTTTAGCTCGTTCATCATGTTTTGCGCAGCATGAAGACTGTTGCAGCTGCCGCGCTACATTCTACCATGCCTATCAAGCACCTATTTGGCTTGGCACCGACTTCAAACTGACTAGAAGGGACTATTGGTATTATAATGTTACCTGTTACATTGAGGGTACTTATTATAGTTTTTTACTTAGATTTGTAATTATTTTTTAATTTTTAGTGCTCTTTGTCGGTGTTTTTTGAAGTCGGTTCACCTTTTTTTTAAAAAGGGTTTTTTAAATCACTTTTTATGGATTCTTTTTAATGCATTGAATAACTACAAAATTTTAAAATGACTATAAATTTAAACTACACATTTTAAATGGTTAAGTTTGTACATTTTATCAGTTTTGATGAGAAATAAAAGTGATAATATCAGAAAATTGAAATGGTCATAATTTTTAAACGTATAAGTATTTTTTTCAATTCTTTTTTAAATTGAATGCTAAATACAAGTAGGATAAGTGCTTAAAGCTAGTGTCCCATGTTTACTCACAACCTGTATAAAACAATACAGATATAATATGATTCATATCTCATATAAAATACGGTACCTTTTAATCATAATCTTTCTCCTAATCACTATTAATCAATGTAACATCGAAATAAAGTGTATTTTAATAAATTATGTTTTCATATATATAGCGTTCGTTTGAGCTCTGCATTCATACGTGGTCTCTTTCACTACATAACTTGATCTAGTACCGTGAAGTATAAAGTCTATCAATATGAAGTTCTTGGCAGTAATGTTCGCCATCGCTCTTGTCGTCCAGTTCGCTGACGTCGCTGCTGACAAGCTGCCCTTCAATGAACTGGCAGAAACGCATGGACAACAACTCAATCTTGGTGAGTGTTAAAAATGTGAACTGACCATTTAAATATCGTCTTTTGTATTCCCTAATGTAGGTGTTTCAATTTAATCTAAATATATCTATAAAAGAAGAAACTAACAGACTGATGCACTGACTGATCGATCAACGCACAGCTGAAACCGCTGGGACCAGAAGTATGAAATTTTGCACAAATATGCCTTAGGTGCCCGTTCCTTAAGAAAGGATTTTTGAAAATACCACTAGTAAGGGTGCAAAATGAGGGTTGGAAATTTATATGAAACTTCGTTATTTTTGGTAGTAGCTTAGTAGTTTTCAAACTCAGAACATATATTTTTTTATTGAAAGTAATCAAAAATGTTGTTAAGAATTTTTCAAAACTACCCTTAAAAATGAGTGTCCTCTACGATGTCTGATGTTGACCACCACGCGGTCGACGTCGCGGGCAAAAGCTAGTGTACATATAAAAGGTCAACTTTGATTTAATACAGACCAACTGTTAGTCTAGTGTAGTCATGGTGGTTCTTTGTAAAATGAGTACGTAAAGATAATTCATTTTTGATTTTAAGTATTACTATATAATCGTTTAAAACTATTTAAATTTTTATTTCAGATAACAGTAATGTAAGAACTGCAAGATTAACCATCCCGATACAGCGGTGCAATATAACTAAGTGCGGCGCACAGTGTCGGAGTCGTGGTTTCGTACGTGGAATATGCATCGCGACCGGACTTTGTCGTTGTACAAATTGAGCAATCGTTTCTTGCAACTGCTTCACATTTTACTGTAGTTGGCCGATTTCCTCTCACAAAACTCAAAAAATCGAAAACAGACTGTTCTTAATCGTACAGGCAGATTTTTAACCATTTTACCATTAACGTGTCCGTATGCAAATTTAACTATATTTTAAGTAATTAATTTCATAAAAAAATATAGTTAAATGTGCATATTTGGAAGTTAATAAAATCAATGAATAATAATAAAATCAATAAAAACATTTCTTGTTTTATTTTTGATAAAATAAGTAAAAAGATTACAATAAAGGCATTTTGCATGAAGCTTTTTTCTTTACATAATCTGTATTAGATTTTTTCCTTATCACATGAATAATAATAAAGGTAGGAAGGGAAAAATAGCAACTCAACAATATTTATATTATCTTCATATTAATATATATATATATATTTATATATATTCTTTATATTATTTCATATTATACTTTCGGTCGCTTGTGTCAAACAAATCATCTTTGTGAGAAATCCGTTTGTTTTATTAGATCAACTACATAATTGGTTTAACCTCAAATGCGAATAAAAGCTAAGGAAATTAAAAAAAAAATTGTGATGTATAACTGAAATCCACTTGAGTTAGAAAGGTAAGTTGTTAGGGATGAAACGAATATGTGACAAAAGAATCCTCTTGCCATCTGCACCACGAATGTGCCTCTATTACAATGATACTTCTAAAGAGTGAGAGAGAGTGATATAATTTAAAAGTTGTATCAAAACTTGGATAAGACATTTGTTTTGAAAACTGTGATAAATCTGAGCCGTGTCAAGAATGTCTTAAAAACTTTATTTACTTCAGCAAAACCATAATCAACCAGGGTTGCTGACGTTTCGCACACAATAATTTTCGGGCACTTGTCCAAGTTCACACTTTTTAATTTAAATGTTTTTTTCACTGACGATTCACATAACAGTAAATTAAGGTATTTTGTTTCTACAGTGAGACAAAAACATAGCTTATAAGTCAACATATGACTATAATATAATTTTAAAAACTTAAATCTGTCATTCAAAACGTATTTCCTTATTTCGTATAAAATAAAGTCGTTTTCTGTGTTGTACGCTGAGATCTCTTAAGTTAAGCAACGAATTTTGATACGGTTTTCACCAACAGACAGAGTAATTCAAAAGGTACCTACCTTTTGAATTACATGCACATTGTATATAATACATGCATATTATAGTAGAGCAAATGCGAGAATTTCAAAGATTTGTTACTTACATTGCAAACGTTGGCTAAACCTTACGAGTTAGACCAAAATAATGGACTACGGAATTATATATCTTAGAAAGATCTAGTCTATCTCCTAAGGATAAGCCACAGTAATCATTTTTATCTTTTAAGAATCACAAAAGAAATAATTAGATATTTACGGAGTTATTTTAATCAATGCATTATTATTCCTTATCCAATTAAATACGTTAGATACGTTTTACATTTAATGTAGATTAAAATTGCTCTATATCATTAGGGTTTATCATTAAAATAAATATTTTAGAAGATATTAGAGGTTTTAAATGCGGTCCCGGGTGGCAGCGGCTGTTAGGATTGGAGGCGGCCTATAAATATTGCATTTTAGGATGTGCTGTAGTATAGACCTATCATAATAATAGTATAATTAATAACTCCACACTGACACTACATTAGTAGTATTGGTAGTATCTACATTGCACCCGTGCGAAGTCGCTAATTTTGTAAAAAAATAAATATCTTATAAATATAGGTTTGTACCAAATTAGTGGTTTACTTAATTTAATAAAAAAAACTTGAAAACAATAACAGTAAAGCCCGACTTGTAAAATATCTGATAAAATTTACTTGCTGAAATAAATATAATTTATCATTGATTGACTCGGTATTACTCATTATTTACAAATTATGTAACAGTTATTTTATAATCTATTAAAATAATAGCATATGCATAATCGATATCTTATTTTTGGATATGCGAATGCTACACCGGTAAAGATCCTCGTGGATATCCTTCGCCCATTTTAGGGGTCTGTTAGAGTGTTACCGAATTAAAACATCCCCGGTCTTCCTTATTTACTAGCCGGTGGGTTGAATGGAATAATGTCATATGTGTAACAAATACTAATAGTGAGTTCAACAACTTCTTTGATAGGCCGCTAAATACCGTAGACTAAACATGTGCCTTGTCACTTATTATTATATAGTTGGCAAATATTGGTAAAATTAAATTCTTACAACCATGTGATTGCTACAGCATTCCATCACGATATTAATTAAATGGAATGTAATTAAAATATAGTTATATTTATTAATTTTATTTATTATACCTATTAAGATTAATAAATATATGTAATTAATATATGAATAATTACATTATATTATTAGTAAAGTAATGAGATCATAGTACTACTGTAAATTAATCAAATTTTAAAAATATTGCGAGTAATCTTGTGTTGCACAAAACGCATGCCACTGATGGCAATCCTAAACCGACGTACCGGTTAGCAAGCGAAGCCGGCTGGTACTACTGCAGATATCAGGGCAGGAGGGGGACTCTGTTACATACAGCGCCCCAGAGTTGCTCCTTTAAGTAGCTGAGTTGCTCCTTAACTCACTAGTAGTATTTATTACACGTATGGTAATGTGTAACTTGCCGTCTTAGTTTATGTCTTGAGACCCTTGTACAACTTGTACAACTTGGATTTACGATACCCAGGCTTACGCACACGCAATTGTTAGATATGAAAACGATAAAGCAATGACGAATCAAGGATCAAAATAAAACATGATTACTAAACAGTAAGCAAAACCCTATAGTCTCTATATCACTTCGATCAGATAAATATCTGATCGAAGTGATAAAGAGATTATAGGTGTTTGCTTACAATGTGTGTTTAAGATAAATTATTTGCGATAATTACTTACTGAAAACATGACCCCTTGGACATATTTTTATAGACTACATACTAGCTACGCCTTTCTTCTTTTTTCTTTCTTCTTTTTTTCTTTCTTCTTCTTTCTGTTACCCGCGGTTTAATGTGAGGTTGCAGCGATTTTGCAGTTTTTGTGAAGAGAAAAAATACCGTAATATGCATTTATTGTGCATGAAAATAAATATTTTATAAAAATTAAACATTAAAAAAACTTTTTTTTTTGGGGATTTGTAGAGATACATTTTCATATAGTTGTACTTATAAATAAAAAACAAAATATATGTTTATGCGCCTGCTTACGGCGGCGAAGTTTGCCTGTCAGTGGCTATCAGAGCTCGATGAGGTTTGTTTGAGGTTGGACGTACGTCATTTTGCTCCGTAATTGATTGAAAAATGGTAAATAATGTCTTCACATTGTGTACATTTAATATTTATTTCTACTGCATAACATTTTTATATTACTGTTATTTTAAGTTAAGTTTATAAAAATAATAAAGTTCTAATTTACAAACTTGTGAGTTTCACCATGCCACAGTCTAAAAATTACAGTATGCATTTAAGTACGGTTGAAAAACCGTATTCATTGGTAATATGCAAGGTAACAGAAAATATTATTAGAAATCTCTGATTTTGGTATAGTCAGGCACATTTAAATTGACATGACAATTCACATTTATGTGGAACTCAGTGATATAAGTAGTGCTGAAAACTAAAAACGAAAGAAATTCACAGGCGTAGTTGAGACCCTATAGAAATCAATTTCTGTTGATCATAATACTATCATAATACATAAATTATGACTAGTTTGCTCTTAAGATCTTAACAAAAATTTATGGACTGAGTTGTTAAAGCTATTGGTATAAAAGATCTCAAAAAGATTGTGGGTGTCAAAAATAAAATGAAATTGTCTGAGATGAAAACTTTAATGAAGTTTTTCGAGGTCCAAAAATAATGCCCTTGTGAAGTTGGGAGTCTATATAAATAATGCTCAGTTAAATGTGAATACAATACATAGTTTTAAATTTCCTCAATATCAGCTCCAGAGCCTGATTTTATACCATATATAGTTTATAAAAAATGTCCGTCAGTGCGTTAACACTTTTTAAGTACCTATATTCTGCAAGATGTGGTCGAGCAAAGAAATACCAACAGCCTTCGGAAAAGCTAATTTTGTCCTCATTCCAAAAAAAGTGAAGTTATATATCCCAGAGAAACTAAAACGATAGCCCTTGCCAATACAATTTTAAAAATATTTTTCTCCTGTCTTCAATTAAAAGTAATAAAGTTTATGTCAAACTTTAGACCAAATTAACAGAAAGGGTTCATGTCCGGAATCTCTGGATGTCTGGAACATAACTCAGTACTTGCGGAAAGTCTCAAAGATGATAGGATAAATTAAAGGCAAATATCAGTCAGTTGGATAGATTTAGAAGACGCCTTTGGCTCAGTACGCCACGAGTTCATGTTATTTATTGTGAAATGGTATCACTTTCCGCCAGTAGTTTGTGAAATAATTGCATCATACTATAGGCCTCTAGCAATGTACGCCACTTAGATCGATTTTGGGCTTCTCGCATCCAGCACCTGCCAGCCATCTTGCGCAAATCGTTACTCCACCTGACCTGTACACACTGTGACCGTGTGTCCTTCACGACGTTGCAGTGGACTGCGATAGACTGATGATGATTGATGAAAATAGTAAACTTAAATTGTAATCACAACAAAATGGGGACATACTAAACTACTTGAACACCATTATATCATTACTATCACCTTTATAACCAGTCTAATTAAAAATAATTTTACATTATAAAATCGAAGAATGAAAAGTAAGTTGTTACATCTTATGACAGTTGTGAGATCGAACAGCACTGAATTGTGACCGAACTTTCTTGGCTTTCAGGTTGCACTGATGAGAAATGAGGAACATAATATCTGGTTTCAATGCAATCGGCTGATTATTAATAAATCAAAAACAAACTATAATATTTACAGCAAAAAACAAGAAAGTATCACATTACACACCCTTGAAAATAAATAATCAAATTTTAAACAAA